CCTGCGGTCGACTCTGAGGATCCCTGTTTCCATGCGGGGTCCCTCCCTGGTGACGGTGGTTGCGGTGGTTGCGGTGGAGAGGCGGTTGGTCCGAGGGCAGGGTCCCTCTCGCCGCTCATAGAACCTGCTCGTGGGTATGGGGGTGAGGGGGGAGGAAAGGGGGGAGAGGGGGAAGGGAGGTCCGGAAGTGTGGAGATGTGAAGAAGTAGTAGCGGTGAAAGGGCGTACCGCTCACCATTCAACACCAACAAAATTGAATTTCATGAAGTAAAAAATAATATTTTGAAAACAAGTGTAGCACCGTATACACTACTTATAGGGTCAACTTACTTGAATAGGAGCACGTACGACAGGTCCGTCAGCTCTGCTCGTCCCTCGGCGCCGTACAACGCGAACGCTTCCCCCGCTCCGAACCTTCGCTTGCTGGCCCACACCCCCAGACTCTGACATTCGGCTTGACGCAGCCGGCGAAGACAGTAGAGCAGGAACTGGGTGCGGTGAGATAGCTTCCAGTCCACCTACAAGAGAACGTATGTATGTACATATGTGTGTATGTACGTACATCACAAACACGGCATTTCGGTTCAGATCATTAAGTAAAACACACACGCGGCCAACCACCCCGCCGCCTACTCACCTCCACAGTCGCCTTCTTCACCGGCGAGAAGTCCCTTCGCAACCACAGCGGCGGCCGCATCAGTGAAGGGAACAGTACGAACAGCTGTACGAACACAGGGGGAGAATCACGTGGACAACGACCCAGAACACCTGAGGGGCAGCAGTCGCAGTCGCAGTAGCAGTAGCAGTAGCAGTAGCAGTAGCAGTAGCAGTAGTAGCCATTAACATTAACAGCATGAATAATGAATAATCATGGAACGGCGGTACGGTAGTGTACGGCAGTACGACGAAGGACTGCTCATTTCCCCTAATTTCCCTTTTCAAGACACTTACCCGATATGACCTCCCTTCCGCCAGTAGCCGCCGAGTCCGTGAGCTCACTGGGGACATAGAACGCCCCCCGCCGTAGCTCCGGAACCCCCCGGACGGCGCGAACCACCGGTGGACTGGGCTCACCGCCGCTAACGAAAGGCGCCTCTCCAACCTGAAAAGGCAACAGCTCGGCCGCAGAGACTTTTTCAATGGAGTTTGAATGCTGAAGCGTGATTTCAAGTCGCAAGCGGGAAATGTCTTGTGGAAGCTCCAGGGGGGCTAAATGGAAAAGCGCGCCAGCGCGCCGGGCGCTTTGAGCTTGTTGCCGGGTGCTGTGGAAGTTTTTCAGGGCGAAAGCTTCGGTTGTGAAGCGGGTGTGGCGATCCGGCGAAGGTGGTGTTTGAAGCCTGGAGGAGATAGCTCCAGGGGGCGCCAAGCTGCGGCTGTTTGGTTCGAATGGAAGGCGAGGATGGCCAACAGGTGTGGCCGGAACCTCGCCGGGAATGGTGTCCAGCACCACAGCATTGGTGAACTGGACGCGGACGCCTGGTGATGGGACGCCGGAGGCTGGAACGGCTGTGGATGTCTGAGCGCTTAATGGTTGGTTCGGCATCGCGGTCAGCGATGGAGCGGAGGCGTATAGCTCGCGCGCCACGGATGAGGATATCTGGGTAAAGGCTGTAGGTCGCCTGTTTGTTGATTCAGCAACTCCGTGCGAACCCTGGATTGTCACGCTGCCGGGAATGTTGCCTTCGGGACTCCACCATGAGTCAACTGCGTCAACTCCTAGCGCAGAGCCGCGCATGGGGTTTTCATATCCAGGACGAGCAAGAAGGCTGGTAGTCATGTTGAACTCGTGGGTGTCCGCACGGAATGCCTCAACGTTGGTGCGAGGCGCGGCTTCTGAAACGCCCAGCACACCATCAAACATTATCTAGCTGTTAACAAGGCTCTTATGCATTTAATGAATCTGTATTTCATTTCTAATATTTGGTAAGACAAGACCTGACACAAGGAAAGGAGTAGGTGGGCCGAAGACACGACACCTCAACCACGCCACTTTCAACCTGCTTGCAGAGTTCAGTCGTCGAACAGCATATAATGGTGAATATAATGTGCTCGCAGCCGCTCTTATGTAAGGACTAGTATCCCCGCTGATTCGGGATAGTTAGACAAGACATCTAAGTGTATAATCCCCTAAAACGTAACCTGAGTTATCATCTGCAACGTTGGCCATGTAACTCGAAACAGCATTGCTCCTAGGCATGCATTCTCGTACTGTAAAAGGGCGGTTACTCTTTTCACGGAGCTAGCGATCAACGTCTTTGATGAATAGCTGCCCACATGTAAGATTCTATTTATTAATAAACTCAATTTAGGAATTTCCGAGGTAGGCTATGCAGCGTGGGAAATTGGCACGCTGAACTGCCCCGTTTGGCGATATGCGCACCTGATGAAAACTAATCCCCTAAAATCTAAGTTTTCAGGGTGTAATCAGCTTGGAAGTCAGGTAGGATGTTTTTGTATGCATTCCATCGTACTAACCGAAATTATACTGATCGACTGATCCCCGTAATGGGGTGATTGGAAGGAGCTCATGCCAAAATAATGATCCATTTCTACACGTAATCCTGAGATCAGAAGTCACGATCAGCTCTGCTAACCATCAACCTTAACTATCTAAACTGTTTACCTTACCTTTTGCACAAAGGGAGAGCCACACCGCTGGAAAGGAGCGAAGGAGGAAACTGAAGCTGAAAACCTTCACTTGCTGGAGATTTAAACTGAGCATACACCGGGTGCTTCGTTATTCGCTGATGTGGAAAATCCCTACCTGTACTGCTGGAACTGAAAAAACATACATTAATTACAAAATTGCGTCCCGCTACCACCCACTTCACCAATCTTGTATCAGAATATGAAAGCAATAGTAAAATTAATATCTGTAGGTCTACGGAAATACCCGGTGTATAAATAGCACGCGTTCCTCTTTACCACAGCCATTACTGGCTCCCGGTCACTGCAAGTCATATATGACCTTACAAATATTTCGTATTAGCGCCGAGGTACGAAAAACATATATAGTGGTATCTGAACATCGATAAGGACTCCGTGCATATTGGTCAACAGTTAAATCCTAAGATGGAAACCAAAGACGGAAGCAAAACTTTTACGCTGCCAACGGTGTGGATCCTTGATTAGAATGGCCAATTATAGAGCTTCAGTTCCGGAAAGTTCCAGCAGCACCAGCCGGGCCCCCAGCACACACCTATACACGAGACAGCTAAGGAGCGCCCAACAACGGAGTGCTCAGAGCTGCTCGTCTCATGTACCTTCTTATTGAAAAGTGCGGGCGCAGCATTTTCCACACCCGCCCACCGCCCTGCTCCTCCAATCTGCACTTGAACCACTGCCTATCCCGCCTACCCTCAACCTCTCCCATCATGCCTTCCGGTGCTCACCCACTACCATCACCACCTCACCAGAAGCTTCACCGGCCCCAGCACCCGCGTCAATGCATCCCCAGCAGCAGCTGCAGCTTCCGTTGCGACTCAGGAAAGCACAGTGGCCACATGCAGCACGTACACCCAGCAAAAAAAGCTGTTACAAATTACAAGTTCATTCCACACACACACACACACACACACAGGTGGGGGTCCGTAAAAGCTTGAGGGGGGCCCATGCAAAGTCCTGTAGGAGGGTCACCACCTGCCCGTACCACCTGCCGTTGTGTCCCCCTATTCCCGTAACCCTTCCAAGTTGGGACCGGGGCGCGCCGCAGACGTGTGTCCCTGTGGCCTTTGCAATTGCCCCCAGGAACCCTCGATCCTCAAGGATTGTACAAAGTACTAATTACTTGAGTAAGCGATCTTGATGTTGATAATGACCGTTCATACATACAGTGAAAGAACAATGTACACATCTTCCGAAGAACACCTGAGATGACTGACTCCTGTCGACGTCTTCCGTCTTTTCCCTTTGTTCACGTGTGATCAGTCAACCGCCTGCTTTCACGGAAGGGTTCGTTGTGCCCCCTTCGGTTGGCTACCCTGTGCTTGTCGCTACCACACCACACACGCAGTGGTGGCATGATGAGCCTCTGCTTTGTCCATCTGCTAGCTTAGGACTTGAAAAAGGTTAATTAAGTTCTATCTATAGCTAGCGGGGACTTTAGATAGAACTTAATTAACCTTTTTCATATATATACATACATATGTATATATATATGTATATATATGTCGGGTAACGCATATTTAGCCGCTTAAGCACACATGTCTTCCCCCATGTGAATCACCGCTCGCGTCTACCTTAAACACCTTATAACGCACCCCAACTGACGCATTTGCAAAACGTAGGGATTCAACAAGGAGCGTCACCTGTCATCTGACGTTTACGTCCGCCCCGTCGCAACCAATGAGGACCGGCTCTTTGCCGGCGCGCCCAGCCGCTACGGCAGTTTCGTCGCGGGCGTCAACAC